CCGCATCTGAACGCTGGGCTGTGGAAGTGGACCCACCCTCCAAGTCCAAATTGATCTGGCCTGGATTGAGAGCTCTAAATCTGCAGGATAAACGTCCATAAGTTACTATGTGCATTGACTGAGCGTGTGGTTGTTTGTTCGTGTCCCCCCTTAGAGATGAAGTGAATTTAAGAGTAGTTTAAGTGTGACTAACCTTCGGCCTTTATTGCCTGAGCTGTCACTGATGGATCTGTGTTTGACTCACTCCAGTTGTCGACAGCTGTGAGAGCCTTGTGTAACACGGTGACTCATTTATTTCTTTCAAAGCAGAGTGCAGTGCCCTTAACAGTAATTTGCTCATCCATTATTATATTATTTACCTTAGCGGGTTTTATGCCATACTTCTCTGAATTAGATCTTGGCCTTGCACACAAAAGCCCATGCATTGTTGCTATGTTGTACTTGTCACTTGGCAGACACACATATACATGCATTTAGATTACACATACAGTATATAAAGTCTGTGCATTTATTTAGTAGATTGCACGAATTACAATACTAGCGATATTGTAGTTATTTTGTTTAATATGTGATTATAGTAAAAACTCTCAAGAATACCATATACCAGCAAACTATGGCATTGGAAACATTTTAGCTTTTTTGCTTTCTACTAGAACTCATTTTGACCGCTCCCATTCAAACTAATGGAATTCTGAAAAAATCCCCCCAAAAAGGTCCAATTTTCCACCAGTTTGTCTTCTTTTTTCACTTTTACTAAGAGCTAAGACTGGTGTCCATCCATCCATCCATTTTCTACCCTTTAATCCATTTCTGGGTCAGGGGGGTGGCAATCAGAGATGCCACCCAAGTCTCATAGCACCAGCCCCTCACTGACCCTCTGCAAGTGGTGAGTCCACAGGAGGGTAAGACTGGTGTATGAACTTGAAATTGACTTGAATTACCGTTGAAAGGCTATCAAATTCTAACTGTTGGCCAATAAACAAGCATGTTTCTATGGTAACTATGGTAACCAACTGGTCACGTTAATATTATAATATAAGATAAATACATGAAAATAATGGCATAAAAATATAGGAAGACCACAAATGCTGACTAATTATATCTCCAAAACGAAAAGCCATCAAAATGACTGCTCTGGGAGTTTGTGTGTTAAAGCCACCCTGTGTATTTTTTACAGCTGCTCCATATGAAAAACATGTTAACTAATAACAAATGTGACCTTTTCAATAATATTTACCTCCATGTTTTTTGAATTGTATTCATTGGCTTGGAATTTAACTTATAAATGTCCATGAGAGAGGAGTCCTCTCCGTGTAAATGAGCCATCTTGAAAAACGGTGGTGGATAAGGGACAAAAAGGATGCGAGAATCGCGTTTTTGTTTCACATGAGCTACTGATATTGTTGCTTAAAGAAAAAATAATTTTGCAAAAGCCCGGCAAGATAGCAGAAAAGTGTCAACATCGCAAACCACACGCACCGAAAGACAACATTAGCACAACGGGAGAAACATTGTGTAGTTTGACTCACACGTGAACATTACGTAACTTTTTTCACACTGACAAGTACGAGGAAGAATCTGCAACACAATCTCAGGATGTTCTGACCCGATCCGAGCGCAGTCCAACTACTATGTCACAAGATTCAACTAAAGATATTCAGGGACAAGCCTCCGATAAAACACACAGAATCCCCACAAAACAATCGCCAGAATACTTTATCAGCAGCGAGAGTGAATGTTCTGTTTTCTTACCGTGATGCAGATAGGGCGCTGTGGCTAACGCTAATGCTAACATGAGCTTTTAGCCATGTCCTGCCGGGACTGTGTATATGTCCTGCAGCTGTGTTAACAGTATGTCCTGCCTCTCTGATTATCGTAGTTTTAAGCTCCCACAGACGAAGTACCTTGGACTGGAATATAGGATCTCAACGCTAGATGGCAATAACAATTACACACTGTACCTTTAAGAAAATGATGCATGGGGCTATGTAACGGGACATTTTGGGAGAAAAATGCTCTTCCATCACTGACCACATTGAAGATTCCAGCATGACAATGATCCAAAACACACCACCCAGGCAATGAAGGAGTGGCATTTCAAGGCCAGTCTCTAAACCGTAACATTGTCCGTATGTGTGTGCTGTGTAACTGCAGTTGCTGTGTCTAAGCAGTTGAAAAACCCCTCTTTGGCTGCTGCCTCACTCTTTCTCCAGTGGACACCCACATGCACCTCGACAGTCACCTCCTGCCTCTTAAACTGGCGCCCTTCTAGATCTCAGGAAGGGGACATTGCGCAGATGGGTACAAAATAACCGATCTGACGGAGCGCTCAGGGGCTTTTGGTGACGGACGCTGCAGTGTGGTTGTGCTCGCTCTGTCATACTTCATGCTTTTCCCATCACTCCCTCACTGCAGCTCCATAGTCTGCCCCTGATGCTCAACCCTGGACCCTGGCATTCCACCTATCCATTGTTCCTCCACTGAGACTTGCACATGATGAGGGAGAAGACATGTAGTAACAGTGTATCGTTACTTCTTGCTCATGTCTCACGTAAACATCACTGCATAAATGTAGAATGTGCACTTCATTATCCCTGTATGGAAATTTGTCCTCTGCATTTGATCCACATTGATGCCATTTGGGCCTCTGTCCGGAGCAGAGGTCACTGTAGTGCGTCGCCTGAGAATTCATCTCCAGATGTTGTTGCTTATTTATACATGTGCAGAATGATTGATTCAAATACACCTGCTTTGAGTAAGCTTGCATTTGAGCTGGTTCTACTTCAATCATCAATTTGCTTGATTTAGATGGAAAAATAATTGTAAGAGAGAAACCTCAAACTTACATTCCTTTCTTAATATTTGTGTTCAACTAAGAGTCATTTTGTGTGCAGCACGTTTGCTAGATTTACAGGGTTTTAAGCATTGTGTATCGTCAGCTGCATGGGAAAGCCTGATCCAGCCAGACCTCCGAACTGCAGCAGGGCACTTACTATCGTGATGCGAGACCTTTGGGAACACCAGCTCTTACAGTGGGGTGGTCCTGATCTGACTCGCTGCCTTGCTTCTGTCATCCTGCTCCAGGGCAGCTGTGGCTACAGTGGTTTATCATCACTGCATATGTAGCCAATGGGTATGCTTGTGAAGCACACTATAATTATCAATTCAATACGTAAAATACAAAGCTGGAATACTAAAGACTTCCATGGGCTAATGTGGTGAAACATTTATAAAATGTACATGCCATGAACTAGTTTAAGTTGTTTGTTTGCATCATGCTGGTGTAAATGTTGGTGACATGTGCAGTAGATGCCACAGAGTACCTGCTACATCCGCCCACTCTTGCACTATTCCACTGTGACTATAAGAACATTTTGCACACTTGAGATTCAATTTCACCATTTCCAACAACTGGCCCCTTCATTGAGAGACCACCCTGAACTAACTTGGTCTGAATTTAATGAGCTTTATCAAACTCGCAGATAAACCCTCCTCTCTGTAGACTGCACACTTCACCTAATAACAGTAGTGTAGATAAAAGTGAGTGTGCCTCCAGTGTCCAGCCCACAGTGTGATTAATGGACCACTTCCATCTCCTCATGCTGAACTCTGGCCTGGACTTAATTAAAACTCCAACGCTGACCGCCATTCATAAATTACTGGATGCCACCTGTGACATTCTTAAAATAAAATGAACAAATTGCTTTTTTGTACCAATTAATAATTCACTAATGAAACGGAATAAAAGCATCGGGAGCCTGTTGGGAAATGTAAGTTCTGGATGAAATTTGTTTTGAATTGGACTTGTTTGTGAGATGGAATACTGGGCAAGTCAAGGCAAGGCAAATTTATTTGTTTAGCACAGTTCATACACGAGGCAATGTGCTCGACAAAATGCACACTATGCCACAATATACATAGAATATACGTGGAAGTGTGCCGCATGTGTTTTAGTAAGGGCAATGAGGGGTAAGAAGCAACTTTGCTGTAGTTGTCCTGGATGTCACTCAAACTAAATGAAAAACTTACGCTATTATTATCAGCTAAAGCAGCCACAAATTAAAGTAATCCTGCAACTCAACTTGCAAAAAGTAAGGGTTGAACTATTCGGTGTTAAAGTCAAGTTTATATAATGTAAACCTGAGCACAGATAGGCGGCAAGATAAAGTTGTACTTATGAAGCCATGTTGTACTTTACAACTTCTGAGTAGTAATTTTTATTATTGTAATTCATCAAATTATATGTTTACATATATACAACGTTTACATATAATAATAACTGTTATTCTTTGTTAATACTAACAATAATTTTTTTTTTATATTATTTATTTAAAATAACAATTGATGAATTACTTAATCAATCAATGATAATGAATGGTAATTTAGATTACTCATTTACCAATACTAAAATGTCTGTCACTAACGCTGCTCTCTGGAGCTGACAGTGTGTCCTGCAGGGGGCGATAGTCATGGTCTAGCAGAGATGTTAGCTTGTCCAGGACCCTTTTTTTGATGAGTCTGGTTAACTTCTCCACCTGTTTTTTTCACACACAATAAAAAAAAGAACATAATAAAACAAACAGGTCTTGTCTACAGTATGTGTTACTTTACTTTATAACAGTGACAAATAACTTGTCATTCCAGTGTCCGTCTCCTGTAACTGACCAGAGAAATCCTTGGGAGGACATGAAATGTGATTTTACGCTGCAGTTCTTGTTATCAATTACAATCGTAAATCAGACACGGAGGTTAAAACTACAGCTTGTCAGATTCATAAACCGATTTTAGATGGACGTTTAGACCAAATAATTCTGAATAATGAGGACGTTTAATTAAACCGTTCCATGCATTTACTGTACACAAAATGAAATCCTGTTTTCTCTGATTCTGTTCCAAAAGCCCGTTTTCCCCACACAAGCCACAGAACATGTCTCTCTCTGCGTCTCTGTGGGGCCTGCGGCTGATTGATGGGCCCTGTCTCCTCTGCTTGTGTTTTACAGGTAGGAGCCATCATTACTGTGTCGCCATGGTGATCTGGCCTGACCTGACCCTGGACCCCGGCAGCTGGAGCCCGCCCTCTTCCATCGCCCCCTCTCCATCACTGCTGCTGTGTGTACATGTGCACTAATGGGACACACACACTGGGATTATTACCACTGCAGACCTTTCGCTTACACTAACACTAACAATGTTTTATTTTATGACGAGCACTGTATTGTTTGGACTGTTTATCATCTTAAGAAAACTAACTCAACAAGTATAAGCCGCTATAGTGTGTCTTTAAAGGGGACATGGCATGCAAAATGGTTTCACGGCTTTTGACATTGTTATCCTTTGTCATTTACACTCTCAAAGTTCTAGGTCTGAATCTTTTAGAGTTTTCCAATACGGTTCTTACCTCGAAATATGGTCCATGATACAATACATGCCTTAATAAGTAAGTAAGTAAGTAAGTAATCTTTATTTATATACCGCCTTTCACAGACCAGAGTCACAAAGCGGTTTACAATTGTCATTTTTTACAGGACACATTCATTTCAATTCAATTTTAGCAAAAATGCAACATAATTTGTTTGTGTTGAACAATCTTCTCAATCACGCAACTGATTAATAATGATTGATTTATCATTACTATAAGAATTTTGATAAAACAATTATATGGTTTCATAATCAAAAACTTACCTGGAGTTGTCAAAGTCGAGTTTATTTTCATCCCACTTTTACAGCTACAAGAGCTCAACATTCTACGGGAGCATTAAGGACAATTTAGACATTAAAAAAAAGAGTCAGCCCCCTCACAAACTGGGCTGACTTTTTTTTAATAATGTGTTGCTCTTAAACTGTTCTTTTTTTTATCTTCAGACACACTTTGCTTTATTCCTAAACAAACGTATACATTAATAGCAAAATGGCCAACAAAAATATACATACTGCTAAATATTTTCCCTTTGATAATAATCCAAAGCAGCTGTCATGAACTTCACAGATGTCAATGCTTTGATTCATGGCCTTAAAAACAAACAGTGCTCGGATTACAGTTTGAAGCATAGTGCTCAAAGTATTAAGCTTAAAAAATTATCCATGTTTTTTTTTGTTAACCATAGATTACAAAATATGTCTCCTTTAAAGCAAGATACTGTATTTACCAACATTGTAACAAAAGCACATATACTGTTTATATACCTATTATTATAAGCTATATTTCCAATTTTCATTTCTCACGTCCCGGAAACCTTTGATCAGGAGAATCCAAAGAACTCTGTAACCTCAGCGACATGTTTAAAAAAGCTGGTTTATTGTGTAAAGTCAGTGTACTATTTATTTGCATGTAAACAAGTCTAGCTGCCACTTCCTGTCCAGGGCTTGTCCTGTGATTGGTCAGTGCTGTCTCGGGCGTGTTCTGTGATTGGTCAGTGCTGACTTGGGCGTATCCTGTGATTGGTTTCTGCTCTGATTGTTTTAAAGAGTAGAAACATGAGGATAAGATCAAATCTGCTGCAGCTCTGCTCTGTGCTCCACTCATGTGCGAACGCTTTTATTTGTAGTGTTTTTTAATGATCTAATGGTATGCTATTGTAATTTATTGTAATAATGTTGTTTAGAATGTATTGATAATGAAGATGACAAAAATACTTGATGAATTAAATGTTGCATCTCACTCGTTGATGATTTGTGATTTTAATGGTATTAATAGTGTTCTACAAAGGCGGGATTGAGACTTTGATTACCCTCATTTTGTGGGAGCAAAGGATTCAATGGCAGTCAAGTGCTTTGCTCAGAGGCACAACAGCATGCTGACTTTATTTAATCTTCAGAATTGTCTTCAAACCAGTGAAATAGAACAGGCTAGTTAGACAAATCAATAGTTGTAAGACTATAGTTCAAATTCAAGTATGTAATTTCAAGTCTGTCACATGCACTGCAGTTTGTAATTTGGTCAAAAGATCTATATCCAGTGTGAACCATGGACACACTGTATAGATTTTATAATAACACGTTTGAAAAAGTTGGGGTTCCCATGTACGGCAACACACATGATGTCCTCTGCAGATGTGTTTGAATGATCTACTAAAGATTAAGATTTGTATAACCATAATTTCTCAGGACTTTTCAAAAAGTGTCAATTCGCCAAAGACAGGTTTGAGTCAAAAACACATGGAGTCATTGGTTTATAGAGAGGGATGACCAATGTCTGTTAAAGGTTCATTAATGTCCTGGATCATCACTGTCCTTAGACCTTGCATTGGAAAGGAATGACTCAAACCCAGTGGGGAAAAAAAGAATAGATCTCAGGGAGGCCCACAGCGACAAAGGGATGTGCTCACTCAGATGGACAAGCTGTGAATCTGGGACTGAAGGGGATTGGACTAATCTTGCACCAATCAGATATTTAATTCATTCTTTTATTCTTCGGCCATCAGCAGAAAATAAGAAAACATTTGACACTCACAGATAATACATTATTTACGGACCGGAAGGGTTTGATTATGCATTTATATTTTCTATACATTTAGAAGGGTAAATAGATTTATAATCAAAGAATCCATTACTCTTTACATAGACCTGGCTCATCACACATAGGTGTATATATAACTGTCAAAATGTTCATTTTAAATGTTTTAGTTTCACAGGGAACTAAAACATTTTTCTCCATCATAGACATAATTTACACTTACGGGACAAGTGGAAGTGGATTCGGTTCACTTTTGGTAGTTAGTAGTCCTATGTCTCATGAAGTTTAGGGACTTCACTTTATTGTATGTTTCACAATTTCTGAAAATACTGGTCGTTATCCAAAAGTCACTTGTGAGTGCTAAGATCTAGAGGTGTTAATTTACATCCATATAAACAATTCACACATAAACAAATGGGACATGATATGAGTGGAATTTATTTTCTTCTCACAAAACTACATTTTTATTTTGAACAAAATAAAATAAGAAATGAGTGTAATCTTTTGCCAAAGATAACTATGTGTTTCTCTGCTGTCCACTCCCTCCTGCGGTCTTTCAGATGGATGCTAATAGGGCTATTGTGGCCAGAGCTTGGGCCGCTTCTCTTTCCTCCACAGAGATAAGTCCAAAGTCCAAATGTGTCCTTTTCATCCCGATTGTCCATCACGGCTGAACTCTGAACCAACCCGCTGGGATTATCAGACTGTGAATGTGTCTATGCACTTCAATCAAGCTACCACGTCCTCTGGATTCTCATTACGATTGAGTTTTTAATAGAGTAAATCCAAAACAAACTGCAGAATGGTCAGCTTTTGTTCCCGAAATGTCAAGTGGTAAAGTAATAGACTTTAATCCTGTCTGGAGAAAAGTGCAAGAAACTGTCTTTAATGAAAGATTGGGAAAATATTGGACCATCTTACCGAGAGGTGCTGTTGATTTACCTCATTGCACTTGTTGGACAAAGTTAACATTGTCTTTTGATTGCTCTGAGCAGTTTCTCTTTTTTGCGATAGCAGAGTGTCTGTGTAAATACAGCGGAAACAAGAGTCTGGGGAAAAAAAGAAGCACTGGAGGGAATTTCAATGTGGGCCTGTGGGAGCTGCAATCATCGGGGCTCTCGCTGTGAGGAAAGCAAACTCAGGTTCAATCCAGGAGAGAGACTGACGACAAAGACAAGCCTAATTATTATAGGAAATGTAGTTACAGACCAGAGATGCAACCATTTTAATTTGGATTCTCTCAAGTATTCGACCCAGAACTGCCCCAATGCCATTCAAAAACCTTACATAGTCTGTTTGTACCTCCCGTTTACACTGTCAAGTCCTTTAAAGTTTTGATGTCTGAATGCAGGTTCGACTTGAAAAACCAATGAACACAAGGACGCAGGTTCAACTCAGCTTTAACTTTTTATTGTCATTTGTTGCATCAGCAGTAGCAACAGCAGCAGGTCGAAAACCTTTGGAGAAAATATACATTTTTAATAAACAGATTTTATCTAATTACTTTTTAAAGAATGAATTAATACTTTTAAACCAAGTTTGTACTATTTTTACAATGTTTTTAACTAGAATTTTATTGTACTTATCGTAATTTTAATGTTTTATTACAATAACTGCGGTCCAAATACTTTTAGAATTTAACTTAATTACTTTTAGTTTTTACAAATTTTATCACAATATTTTAACATTGTATTTTATAACACTAACTTTTTAGATTGAAGATTATTTAAATGAATTACAAATATTGTAGACTGTACTGTTAACTCAACTTACAGAGCCAATCAATTAAATGATACAGAGCCAATCAATTAAACTGATTTTGAGACGTTAAATACTTACAAGAAATTATCTTTATTACAATTAACTGAAAGTTACCCACAATGGATATTAGCCAAATAGAGTTGAGGTGCACCAAACTGAGAAATAAGTTAAATAATATTACTATTATTAATATGACTCAAAGTGGTTGAATTAGCCAAAATATGTTACATTCCTGATAGCAAACGAACCAAAACGAGACCTTTGTCTATTTCAAGCTTTTAAACAGAAATCTTCACTCACCAGTAGCATCTGTGTTCACCTTCATGCATTCAGTTTGTGTGTGTGGTTACACACCTGCACAAACTTGGCTAATTATTTGCCAGACTACTGGTCCCATTCTAACTATGCCTCCATCTACAGGCTAAACTTAAAATAACAAAAGAGAAAGGAAGATAGACAGAGCAGTAAGAGTAGATTAGAAAGATGTTTTAGATTTAAGCCGAGATTGACTTAACATACACTGAGGTAAAATGACAGGAATTAGAATTAAGAAAATAAAAGTGGATCATTGCCTGAAGTCTAAACTTTATCTTGATTTTGTTGAATGTCTTTGAAAATGTAAGGTTTAGTTCAAGCTCAATGCGTCGATCGCAATCTTCAAATCGATTGCAATCTACCGGTCAATCGCGATCGCTTTCCCGTTGAGTGTGTGCGCTGGAACCGTTTGCATCCCCCGCACAGTTTACGCCCGTCTGCGGCTGACGAGCATCAAGGAGGAGCCGGTAAAATC